TTCCTGGGCCTCAGTGGGAAGGAGGTCCCACGAAGGGTGTTCAGCACAGGCTGTTGCTGGCAGTGAGCAGCCTGATGTGCTCCTGGGGCCAGGCTGGTCTATCTCGGGGGGCAGAGAGGGGATGGGAGCTCCGACAGTGTCCACAGTCAGAGTCTCACCCATTTCAGCATGGGATGACGTGTCCTTGGCATTGTTCAGCCATGGGATTGCCTTGGCAGGGCAGGACAGGGCTCCTCACGGAAACGGTGAAAATATTTATGGGAAGAAAAAGTCAGTCAGACCCAAGATAGGTGATATGTGATCTGTGAGTCCAAATCCATGTTGTGAAGCCAGATTTAATGCAAGTTTTCACCAGTAGCTGGTGTTCTTACCACAGCACCTGTGGATAGAGGGTTAATAAGTATTTTCTTTGGTTCTCCCTGAAGAAGAAAAAGGTTTCTTTGTTTTAGTTTCTCTCTAAATATTACTTTTTTTTTCTAGGAACTTAATTTTTGCACATTTTATTACTACTCGGTGAAAGGGAATTAGCTTTCTTTTACTGAAGTTTCAGCTATGAAATGGGCTTTAATAAACTATGTAATTATTTCTTCTGCAGGGAAAATATTTTAAATGGATTGTTTCTTTTTTTAGGGTTTCTTTTTTTTCAGATCATAAAATTATAATATTTCTGTTTTGCTTTACTGCATTCGAGATGTTTTGAATGTTCAGAATTGAGTGTAACCAAGCAACAGTTTTTGCTTTTTATAAGCACCCATGAGTTGTAAGACACTACAGGAATGCTGAAGCCCTGTGCTGGAAAAACCCCATGCATCGTGTTTTCCCCATTCTGTGTCATCTAAAGAAAGAAGTATCAAAATTTTTCCCAAAGAACAAGTAACAGATGTCTTTCATTAGTCATTTAATTTCTTCTCTTAATAAAATTCAGTTGTGTGAAAGCATAATATGTGTTAGCCCAGCTCCCCGTTGGTCTCAGGGGAGCGCAGAGCAGCCTGGCAGGGTGTCCCAGGCCAGAGCCAGAGCTGGAGGCTGCACCGGCAGCACCTACAAACACTTGCGACCACCTTCTTTGCATATGTGTTAAGCAAGGAAAAGTCAGGTATGTGCTGTGGTCCCTGCCGCAGGTAAGGTCAGAGTGACACCGAAAGGGAAGCGATGGAAGGTCTCTGATAGGGAGGCAGCAGCATCGGTGCTCTTGCATACATCAAGCATGGCTTAATAACTTCCTATTTATTGCTTCACGGCGAAGGCCTAGTAAATAAACAACCTGACTGAATTAGTCTGTTTTTCTACCTCTGTCCTGCATAACCAACCTCTTGAACCACATTTAATGTGAACAGCAAATTTCGCACTGCACATGGAGATCTCTCAGCACAGATTAAATTAGTTATAATAAAACAATTAAAATCTATTTGCCCACAGACAGGAGGAAATGAAGGACCTGGGTGAGCCATAGAAAGGTAAAGGGTGGGTTGTCAGGACACCAGGAGAGTAAACAGCAGAGCTGTGATTCTCAGGAGCAAAGCAGGGTCAGCTTTACTGCGAGATAACTGTGCGGGAGATAATAAATCAGGGCTCTGTATTGCACACCAGATGGCTGTGCCATGCAGGAAGGCACAGTGGATCATGTAACTGTGGTTGTTTCTAAGGATTACTGATTCAGCCTGACTTCGCAGGGATATCCTAACAAATAAAATCTTTATGGCCTCTTCCGCTGGTGAACATTTTCATCTACTGTTTAAAGACAGGACCACATGTCTTAGCGTTTGCATTGCCTGATACATATGCAAAATTAATTAAAGTTCACTCAGTTTGAGCTGGTGAAGACTTTTTGATTATCTAGTACTGTAAAGTTGCTTCACAGCATTTCTTGCAGATACTCTGATGGACAGACAGGCCATTGTTCTGAGCTTTAGCTTCGCTGAATCCCACAAGTGTTCCAGGCATAGAGGCAAACACACTTAAAAACTCCTAAACCTATTGAGTTGTCTTTCAAAATTGTCCAGGCAACAGAATTTATTTATAAAACTCTGCAATCGATGATTCAAAACAAGGTTTTCTTGTTCTGCTTTTCTCCTTTGTCCTCTTTGAACAATTTTCTTTGGAATGTTTTCGTTGTGCTTAGGAGTTGGAGATTTCCTGGGGCTTCTAATAAAGGCATTTGATTTCCACTCTCCACATACTTTAACAAGTCCAAGGATTTTGAGGTTTGACATTAACTTAAGAGAGCTGGAGATAATCAGCCATGGGGGTAAAATGCCAGAGTTATGCAAATTATTTGTAAAATGTATAGAAAGCAAAAGAAATACTCCTTTAAATGTGGTTGGTGTGGGACATAGGCTTTGTCTCAGCACAGAGTATCTCTGTGCTCCCCTTCAAATTTATGGCTTTGATTGAAACCTGTAAAGGGGTGATCTGTAAAGTATTCCTGCTATCCTACACTTCCCAACAGGTTTATTGCCATTCGTTTATAAAATGAACAGTCTAACGAGCAGTGGTTTAGATCACAGCTATCAAAGTCTGGTCATTTGTCAAGATTAGTTTCCTGTTGTGAGATTGCCTTGTGCAAAAAAGAGTGCATAACCTTGGGTTCCTCTTGGGAAGCTGAAAAAATACCTATAAACACTTTGTAAGATAGATTTAATGACGATTTTATAATCTCAGGGTCCAATCTAAGGCAGTGCTCTGGCTGTGTGTGTGTAAGTACACGTTACAGTGCAGACAGTACCTGTGTACAGAGGAGGGAATTTTGTTGACAACAGACAAATTTGGGATATGAAGTCTGTGCAGTATTGTCAGGGCAATTTAATGTTCATTTGAATGAGTTAATACTACACTGATGACAGTGTAATTCATTACAGCTAAAAGGCTGCCTTGGGAAGCTCTGCTGCAAAAGCTTTGTGGGCATAGTCTATTGCCAGTAAATAACACCAGATATTTTCTCTCATGTTGGACATTTGTTTTGAAGAAAAACAAAAAAACCCAAACAGTAAGGCAGTAGGACAGTGAAGGTGCTGCTCTGAGAAGCAACACTGCACAGGACAAGGAGGTTATTTTCAAGTCCCAGTGAGAGGGAAGGTGCAGGGGATTTATGCTTTCCGGGCCTTTCCTCCTTGAAATTATCTGTAAAGCGTGTTACATTTGTGTTTTCACTGTCACTGGACAGTGATTTGCCTGGGAGACAACGGGAGGCAGCGGCAGCCACCCCCGGGTGGTTCTGGCTCCCTCCCAGGGCAGGAGAAGGTCCCTGCGCTCCAGCCCTGCACTCCTGGGGTCTCCAGGACACTCCTCGGACAGAGGGGCCAGGTCAAATCAGCCAAATAGCTTTAGGTGGTTAAATAGGAACAACTGGTTTAAGTGCTCCTTTTTCCCCTTTGTGTGTTAATCCTTTCAGATATGTTATTGTGTAGAGATAAAAATATTTTCTGCTTAGGAATTTGCTGGCTAAAGCATTGTAAGGAAAACCTTGTGGGCGAAGGCAGTGGGGTGTATGAAATGAGCCAGGCTGCTCATGGCAGTGCCCAAGGGTCCTGAGTGGCATCAGTTTCCTTTGGACAGATTTATTTCATGATGTACCCAAAAAAGAGCCACTCAGTCCACCGTGCAGCGCCGGTACCTTGGGGCTGTGCAGAGGTGCACAGGGAGCCACCAGGCTCCCAGAGCAGTGCTCCTGTTCCACGCAGAGGTGTGGCCGGGGTGTCCCCGTGCCTGGCTCTCAGTCTGGGTGCTGTGACATATGCTTTTCCCTCCTGCCCCTTTGGCTCCAGCCCTTTGCGAGGGCTCGTGCCTGCCATTTTGCTGCACTTATCAGCTCAGACAAAATGGATGCTCTGGAGGAATCAGGAACTCCCACAGCCTCTGCCTCCTAAAATCAGAGAGAATTGCCTGTTTTGTGAAAGGTGCTACTTTTGATGATGAGAAACCATCAGCGTAGCCCATGCTAAAAGGCAGAATCTCGTGGGGTTTCTCCTGTGAACACACAGGTGCGGTTGTGTTCATTCCCTTGCCGAAATGTAAATGTTCGTGCACCTTGTGCTGTAATGTACTGCCATGAAAGACACTGAATTTCAAATTACCAGTCCACCACGTGACACAGGGATGTAACTTAGCCATTCGTCTTTATTTGAGGCAGCCCTCTCCCAAAGAACTCACAAGGGAGATTCCCAGTTGCCATTAGAAAAGCAAAATAAAATTAATCTAAATCATTCTAACTTTATCTTAGAAAATTAATGATGGATGACAGAGGGGTTTATAGAGGTTTAATAAGAACTGGTCTGGACACAGTGCGTGTTCTAGAGTCTGTGATTATAGTGGTAATTTAGCAGGTTGTATCACTGCCTATCTCTGCCAAAGGATGTTTCACACCATTTAAAATGCACAGTACTCCCTTCAGAGACAGGTTGTTCTGGAATAACTCAACATCCAAAGAAAAGCCGTGTTGTTTCACTCCTCTCTTTATCGATTGCATGTGTGCCATTGCGTGCGTGTGCGGCGGCTTTGCCTCAGCTAAAGATCTGAGTTTTCGTGCTCTTTTCTGTGTCCGTTTATCAGCCTCCTCAGAGACAGACAATACCAAAAATGGAAAGTCATGAAATCTGTTCAGAACAGGGTTTAAGTTCTGAAACCAGAGAGCCTGTGTAAAACAAAGCACACGCTGGCCCTTCCTCTAAAAGGTGAATTAAAATACATTTGGATTTGAGCAAGTTATCCAAACTCTGAGAGCTCCCTTTTGTTTCTCATTTTGAAGAGGGAAAAAACAGTGAGATAAGGACAGATCTTAGTGGGCTTTATCCAGGAAAGGTGATTCGTGGAACCTCCAGACCAAAGAGATTGAGATTTGAATAAATTGCATGCCTGTGGTGTTTCCAAGCCTAAGGACGCAAGTCTCACAGGGTGCAGAAGCACGAGCCAGACTGCTCCGTGCAGTCTTTGCTGGATTTAGATCCATGATGTGTGATCAGTGTGATCTGACACTCCCTTTGACTGTGCTCTCTTCCTTGCAGGCTGTTCGCTGCCAAGTGCAGCGGCTGCATGGAGAAGATCGCCCCGACGGAGTTTGTGATGCGAGCCCTGGAGTGCGTGTACCACCTGAGCTGCTTCTGCTGCTGCGTGTGCGAGCGCCAGCTGCGGAAAGGGGACGAGTTTGTCCTCAAGGAAGGGCAGCTGCTCTGCAAAAGTGACTATGAGAAAGAGAAAGACTTGTTGAGCTCGGTCAGCCCAGACGACTCAGACTCAGGTGAGCTTTTCCCACACCTGCTCTGACTGGAAAAGCCACACGAGTTTGTAGAGTTCTTATAGAAAAGTACTTCCATTTTCACATCCACTTCATCTATATGCACATGCCACCTATGCAAATTTGCAGGCACAGCTGAAAACATCCCTACTCACAGTCTGCTCTCCCTAACTCGACTCCCTTAACTTCTTGCATAGTAAAGGACAGAACCTTTTTGTTTTTATCAAAGTATTTTTCCATGAAGTCACAGAATGTGACTTCAGCTACCCCAATGCTGTTCTCCATAGGTATTCTTCCACCCACTTGACGTATTTTTCAGGGGATCTTCTGCACATACACTTTCAGCACTGAGCTAGGGAAATAGGCACAGCAGTAATATGAGTTCTGAGAGGATTCTCTCTGCCAGTCACAAATGGTACCTATAGAATGACTACAAGTACAACACAGAAGTATTGAAGAGAATCTGAAAGTAACTGAGATGTGGGTTTGTGCCATCATAATCACACACTTGTTTCCCAGGTAAATGTGTAAGAAAATCAACAGTTACCATTCCATTAAACGTACAAATGACATGAATGTTTGCCTCTGGTTTATGGGAAAATGTGTTATTCCAGTTTAGCTAAGCAAAGAAAAGATCCTTACTCCTAATCTGAGAGTCATGTTCTCCACATGGCTGAAGTTTGTATTTCCACATCAGGAATGCACAGGACAAAGGTCTGTCAGACCTGGAGCTGTTCACCGTTGCCACGCTGTGTTTGTGGGACCTCAAGGGCTCTGCTCAGTAGGTCTCACGGCACAGGGTCTGGGCTCTGGCTGAACGTGCCTCAGGCACGTGAGTCTCCTCCTTGTCCCTCAGCCGTTCTCCTGCCAGCTCCAGCCTCCTGCCAACCCCCCGTGCTGGGGCTGGGCACAGCTGTCCTCCCCTGCTGCTGTCCTCACAATCAGTGCCAGCAGCTGCGTTTGGCATCAGCTTTGGGCTTGGGTGGGCTCCACCTCAGGACCGGCTCTGGCTTTTGATCAGCAGGGCGCTACCACAGTGGTAGTTTTGTACTACCCAGTTTCTTCTTTCGAAGGGGAGTTTCTTACTCCTGGAGATGCTTTTTTTCCCTCATTATTCTCTGTTAGCCAAACCCAGACCTGAAAAACAAGCTGACAAATTAAGCGAGTTGTTTGTCTCCCATTGTCTACCACATTGAATACACTGATCTCCCAGGGGCCTGGGGAGAGCACATGATCTGCAGAGCCCTGGCTGACAGTGTGTCCTGCTTCAATCAAATATTTATCCACTGGACACAGAAGTAACTCTCCAATGAGAAGTACTAATCCTCACAAACCTTTCCTTAGAAATGGCATGCTGGAAAGTTAATAATGTCATGGTTATTAAAATGACTGAACTTCTCTTTAATCATTAGGCCAAAGATGCTTATTAAAGTAAAAGGTGATTAGACTGCTAGGTGCATAATAATCAGGCCTTAAAATGAATTAAAGTCTAATTTGTTGATTCCCCAAATGTAATCTTTGTGTGTATAAAAAATTCAGTCTGTTTCTTCATGTTGAAGTCCCTATGTGTTGATATTTTCCAGAAGAAAAAATCAGTAATCTGGTCAAATAAAATATACCAAGTTGAAAAGTTGTTTTTCACAACAAAATGTGTACTTACCCCTCAACCTTTGCCACTGCAATTGAGATTTCCCAGGACAATATGCTAGCAAATGTAGTACCACCAGATTGCATGAATATTCAGAATTTAACTATAGAAAAATACAAAGATTCTGTTTGGCCTACACAAGCACACAGATACTTGTACGTATTTACTGAGAAAGAGACACATTGTAAAGCACGAATAATACTGATGCTTTCTGTAGGATACTGGAATGAAATGGCAAGGATTAATTTTATCTCTAGAGCTTCAGAACCTTCAGAAAAATAACTGGAATCTGCACTGTATTTTGTTAGACAGACTCTGAGCTGTGTGTGACACTTGTTTACGCCGTTGTGCTGCCGCAGTGGTGCAGGCAGCAGTGCCTATCTGCAGCAAAGGCTTCAGGAGAAGCTGGGGCTCAGCTGCAAGGGAAGGAAAGGTGTGTGTCTGGTGGTGAGGCTGCTGCAGGTGAGCACATAGGGGACCAAGTGGTGATGGAAGGTAACAAACTCTGCCTGACTCTTGGAAAGACTGAAACATATTCTGAATTTTTATCCCCTGATCAGTCCCATGTCCTCAACTGGAAACTGAACACATTTTTATGCTTTTGTGGCATTTGATTTAAGCAGAGCACACAGATCTAAAGTAGTCTCCTCCTGCCTGCAGCTGCTTTAGGTATTCAGATAACTATGGGATAATAGGTGAACCTGTTGACTGAAGAGCAGTTCTCAAACAGCCTGTTATCATGGTGGAACAAGTGCAATTATATATCCTGTTTTTCACCAGTTAAAAGTGATGATGAGGATGGAGATGTTAAGCCCACCAAAGGACAAGTAACCCAAGGAAAAGGAAGTGATGATGGGAAAGACCCAAGAAGACCTAAACGACCCAGGACAATACTTACCACACAGCAGAGACGAGCATTCAAAGCATCCTTTGAAGTGTCTTCCAAGCCCTGTAGGAAGGTAAGTGCTTCACCAGCGACCGAGTCAGCTCTGACAACAGGCCCCAGACAGACCCTGCCCCTTCCTAAGGCAGCAGCAGGTCCTCTGAGGTGAGAGAAGAGCACTCCTTTTGCACAGAACTCTTTTATGGACAAAATAAGAAACATGAAATGACTTAGTGTCATTTTCCTCAGCTCAGATTGTTTGTTCAGTCCTTAAGGAATTGCTAGCACCATCAAAGGGCAGAACTTCAAAAAACTACACAAAACTCTGGGGAATTTTTAAAAGTCATTCTGTACATGCAGTTTTTTTGTTATAAGTACAAATGTTCCTCCTAACAAAACTGATTAGATGGGGGGGTTTTAACATTAAAAAAATTGCATCATTAAGTATTTCCTCCTGCAGGTGAGAGAAACTCTGGCAGCTGAAACAGGGCTCAGCGTGCGAGTCGTCCAGGTCTGGTTTCAAAACCAAAGAGCAAAGGTAGGATGTTTGACACATTCGCAACAGTCAAAGGCAGGCTGTGCCTCAGCACGGGCTCCTGCTCCAGATGCAGCTCACACTGCAGAGGTCCCGTGGTTGGGAGTAAATTCTGCATGCAAATCTGAACTGGAAACAGAAATGTTTACGCTTAGAATTGAAACTGAACCCAGAGCAGTGTGTGTATGAGTATAAATGGTCTGTGCTAACTGATAATGGTATTTGCAGAGAGTTTTATAAGGAAACAAAGTTGTTGCATTTGGACCCATGAGATTGTTCTGTTCTTTTTTTTCAGATGAAAAAACTAGCACGAAGGCATCAGCAGCAGCAGGAGCAACAGAATTCACAGCGACTAGGACAAGGTAGGGGATTTGTGATGAAGCAAAGCAAGGAGGAAAGAATCTGCAGGTGTTTGGAAGTGCCACAGATGTGCCTGAGTGCCCATGCCAGGTTACCCCCAGCGCTCCTGGTGGGGCCAGATCCCAGAGGTGGTCACACAGAACCTCTTAGCTCCTTTCTAGAAGAAATGTGCCATATGGAGGAAATCTCCAGAAGGCTTGCTCCAGGTAGATCCTCCCGTTTGTTTTCTCCTGCATTAAGGGGCGCCATGCTCAGCTAGGCATCTGCAAGGGCATCAGCATTGCTGCCCCAGCGTGGGGAGCCTCTCCTGTGCCCTCACAGGTGGCTGGACCCTGGGGCAGCAGCTGCACAGAGGCACCAAAGCTCGCCCTGCTGCTCCATGAGTGCTCTTGAGGGTTTCCAGCTCCCACAGCCTTGCAGCCTCAAATCCTCTTCACCCAGAGCCAGAAAATCTGGGACCAACAGAAGTTAGAGATTTACAGGGCTGTGTCACATAATACAGACTTTGAGATTATAGAGTCCAGCACCCATGAGCTCCATAAATTTTGTAGTCAGAAATGACAAGATTTCAACTTACTGCTCAGGGTTCTACTCTCAGACAAAGTTTGGAAAGCTCCTCTGACTGACAGGACACCCCTGACTGCAGTTGCTCGGGCTCAGCATTGCCCCTGGTGCTGCTGTGCCCTGCCCTGTTTCCCAGCAGTGACTGTGCCTTGTCTTTGCTTTGCAGAAGTAATGTCCAACCGAATGGAAGGGATGATGACATCTTACACACCACTGGCACCACCACAGCAGCAGATTGTAGCAATGGAGCAAAGCAGTTATGGCACAGACCCATTTCAGCAGGGTCTGACTCCTCCGCAAATGCCAGGAGACCACATGAACCCCTATGGTAAGGCCTGACTCATTCTGCCACGTCCGAAGTAGCAGGGTCTGTGTGCTGGGTCACACACTACAGGGGTAACAGCTGTGCTGGCGTTGAGAATATTTTTTCTGGGATTTGTACCAGGGACTCTGTACCAGTCAGTTTTGTGTGTATTTTCTTGTACACGTAAGGGGATAGGATAAAGCTCATCTCAGGTTCTGGGCACCCTTCACAACTATTTCACAGTATAATTCTGACAAGCAATAAAGCGAGCAACATCACCTCTCCAGCTCAACTTTTTTAAACCACTGTCTGAGACACTGAAAAATAAACAGTACTAAATTATAGCTCCCTCACAGTTTTTCCTTTTTTCTTAGAAGCTTTGAGAAAAAAGTGACTTCAATAAAGAGAAATAATTATTCATTACAAAACAAATAATCAGCCCTGTAAGACCCCTCAGTTTGGATGTTTGCAAAGAACAGTTCTTGAGCTGCTAGAGATGGTTACTACTACACTTCTCCTGTGTAGTTCTATTCTCTGTCCCAAATCAAGATGATGGTTTGCTTTCACAGTTGCCTGACCACACATCAAACACTTCATAAGCACTAAATGCCCATTGATTGATTCTGGACAATTGCAGTGTGGCATTTAGACAGAATTTCAGAGGATTTTTCAGACTGCTGCTGGGCCTTGCCACAGCCCACAAGGGCCTGTTCCAGACTCATTTCTGTTGACCAGGAGCACTTCACTGCAGAGGCTCATGTGTGCATCACTGTCACAACATGCACAGGCCAACAAGAAATCTGCTTTGGGTCTGTGTCATGACCTTTGCCACTGAGACAAGTCCGTGGTGCACAGCAGGAAATTTGGGAGGTCCTGTAAGGAGCTCAGGACATATGAAGTGCCCTCGAGCATTAGGTGGCTTGTGATTTTGTTGGTTTTCTTGGCTTTCTGAGTAAAACTCCTTGGGAGGCAGGTTCTGTGCTCTGAAAGGAGTGCAGGGGCTGGCAGAGGCCTTTCAAATGAGTGTGAGGGAACAGAACCAGACAAACAGTTTCTTAAGTGCCCCCAGGACTTGAGCGAGAGCTTTTTCTGGTACCTTTGGAGCTGAAGTCAGCTGACATTGTAGTTGCTAAGGGAAATAAAAGGCGCTGTTCCAAACCAGCCCTAGAGCAGTGGAATTTTCTGAAAGAAGAGCATGTTTACAACTGTAGCTCAGTTGAGACCAGGGGAGCTGGGTCTCTTCCTGGGTCCTGTCACACTGGTAGAACTGTCTTTTACTTTGTGTGTAAATGAAGAGCTCCATGGTTATGGCTCTCAGACCATGCTTCCCTGTCACAGGCACTCGATATCTGGTCCCACTTTCCTCGGAAGCCCTGGTGCCCCCACGAGTGCCAGATCCCAGCCCATGGAGAGCTCGGGATCTGCTCCTCCCAAGCCAAGACTCCCCTCTGTGATGCTGACTGAAGTCTAAATTAAGTCCTGGCAGGTCTGGGGGGCAATGCTGCCAGCTGACTCTCGTGGGTTGGTGTCTAGCCTTCCTCCTTGTGAGTTAGGCGCTTAGAACAGAGTGACACCAGAGCCAGGAGTGTTCCCATCTGCTGCAGCGTGTACCCGTCTGTGTGTCCTGTCCTGCCTGGCTGCACAGCATCCAGCTTAACGTGTGCGTTTCATTTGCAGGGAACGACTCCATTTTTCATGATATCGACAGTGATACCTCTTTAACTAGCTTGAGCGACTGTTTTCTTGCCTCTTCCGAAGTTAACTCCATGCAGGCTAGAGTAGGAAACCCCATTGACAGGCTGTACTCTATGCAGAGCTCCTATTTCGCCTCATGAAAGGAAAGAAAACGAGCGGCCGGCGTGTTTAGCCAGTGACTTTCAGTGCAGACTCTACAGCCATATGTTGCCCAGCTCTTCCTCCACAGTGACTCTGCTGCCTCTGAACTGCAAAGAGCGTATTTTTAGGAAGACTGTTTCTGTTTGCATATATGTGTACGTGTGTATATCTATTTTAATACCTACACACATACATATATAGTGAAACAAAATGCATCCACCAGTCCCATCCCCTTGGTTCCCAGCTTGCGCCAGACCGCGAGACAGCACGGAAGGAACAGAAGACCCTGCTCGTCCTCAGCGTTTGGTTTGGTTTGGTTTGAGCTCGCCATCCTAAAGGAAATGGATTTTGTGGAAAGCTAGACCTTTTCCTCCTTTCTCTCTTCCTTTCTTTTGGATGTTTAAACTCTTTTTTTTTAAAGCCACTGATACTGACATCAGTCGACCATATGACAAATAAATCAAAGAAACTGGAGATTCCTCCCTTTTCTTACTGCATGATTCATACTATGTTGTGGATAAATTGCCATTTGAACTGTGAGAAGTTAATGTAAATGTGACGTTCAACATTTGTTTCCTTTCTACACTTTTTCTACATAACCTAGGTCTGCTCATTAGTTTATAACCCTTATGCATATGATACTGAGGAAACTGGTTGACAGTATTTGTGGAGAAAGCCAGTGATTTCGGAATAAGAAGAGTCTATAACCCTGGAGAGGAGACGCGTGTTAGGGACAGAGACATTTAGGTTAGCATTGATCTTAAACAATTAAAACTAAAGGTCCTTACAAGGCAGAGTTGTATTTAATTTTTTGAAGTGTGAGACTAAAGCATTTGCATTGTTTGTAAGTATTGCAGTGCCAAATTTCAAGTCTAGACCATGATTGGCAAACAAGTGTTGTTCATTCTGCTCTGTTTATTTTTGGTTTTGCATGAGGCATAAATGTGCCGTGCTCTATTGTCCATCTGGAATAATTAAGAACTCCTTTAGTTAATTATCTCACCTCAGCAAGAATTGAGGATACACAGTTCTAGCCTGAAATGTCAGAAGTCCTGAAATGTGCACCAGCTGTGGACAGGAAAGTATGAAAGAGATGACAGTGGGACGTTTAGGTATGTTGTGCTGGACTCTAACAGATCTGCTGTGCTGGGGCTCCTGGCCCTGGCTCCAGCCGAGCGGGCACCGGGCACTGGGCACAGCATCGCCAGGGCTGTCCCAGCTGAAGTCTGATTGATGTTGAAGATCGAGCATCTGTCATATAGATTTTCGTAGGGCATAAAATATCATAAATAATAATAGTATAGCTATAAATATTGCCTGGTGATAATTATAATGTGAAGAGGCAGACAAGTACAGTCATGGCTCTCAGTGGAGAAAACTTGGTGGGGAAAATTTGCCAGGGTAATATCAGTAATTATAGGGTGTGTTCAAAATAGAGCTCATGGGGAAAGATTGGCAGGATAGGCACTTTCTTAAATAAATACCTTTAATATATTGACCATAATAGCTGAAAAACAAGTCCAAAGCGTTGGTTAATCCAACTCCTCCAGGCTGAGGACTGGTACCAGGCCAGCACCATGGTGTCCCTGTGGGGCTTGGCACCTCCTGCGGGAGCACAGGACTCTGGGACCCCACGGAAGGCCAGGCCAGAGGGAGATCCCATGGGGAGGGAGCAGCCCCCGGGGGCACTGGGCCTCGGCCTCCAGGGGTGCTGCTGGGAGCAGCTGATGGACACGGGTCCTCCTGGCACCCTGGAGCCATGGGGGCCACGGGTAGGATGGTGAGTCCAAGGGAAAAATTAAGATTGTTTCCCCATGCATGGAAATATGGGCTGAGTGTGTTGGAGGTTTCTTGAGAAACCTTATCTGCAGGACCATTTAATGTGTTCTCACTCCGGAGGTGAGCAGAGCACCGTGGAGGCAGCTACATGTGTGTGCGCCATGCAGGAGGGCAGAGCACAGCCCCAGGCCAAGGTGCACGGCCAGGGCAGGGACGGGGACTCAGCAAGGATTCTAGGGCACTCCTGTCCCTGCCCACACAGCTCCCCAGGGAGGTGGGTCTGTCCCACCCATATGCTTTGCTAGCCATCCCCTGCTTTCTGACAGGGATGTGGTTTTCATTTGAGGGTTGTGAGATATGTTTTGAAATTGAAAGGATTTTCTTTTCTTACCCATCCCCTTCAGTTATTTTTCTCTTTCCTTGTATATCAAAATAAATAACAGTTTCCTTTCTCTCTGCATGATAGCAAATGTCTATAAAGAACTCAGGTGATCCTCACTGCTTGCAGGGCAGAAGGCAAGCAGGTTTCACATGGCACATGTAAACATTTGTCACCACCAGTCTCGATGGATTCATTGTTTCCCTCCTCACACACTGCTGTGCTAGTTTAGAGTCACAGAAAAGCATCTTCACTGTCTCAGACATAGCAGTTCATAGACTCCTCACACAGGCACAGCCTTGCTTCATCCCTCATTACTGGCAGGATCAAAATGGCATTTTGAGTGTTTACAGGGACTATTATGAGAACTATAATGTGACCTACAGTTTGGAGAACTGCCTTGTCCCAACTCTACCTCTGCTTCTGGGCTGGATGTTGAAAAAACAATCCATTTCCAAGGGAAAAATCAGATATCCCGTTTTATAGCTGAAGTAACCATAATCTTTCGCTGATTTTTTGGGTGACTGTTTACCACCTTTTGTTTGTTTGTTTGTTTTTTCATTGCTTGTACATACCATCTCCTTTCCCTTGGCATGTCGTTTGACGATGCCTTAGCTGTTTGTTGCCCCATGTTCTACCACCTTTGGAGCCACACACGCGGCACGGTCAGGCCCTTGGCACACGTAACAGTTCCTGTGCCATGATGGGCTGCTGCTGGTCCAGGGAAGGAATGCGTAGCCAAGGATTTCCAGTGGACCTGTTATAGCTGGCAAAGGCCAAAGTTCATTAAAGCAAAATAATGTCACCTTTTTTGTGTGTGTGTGGAATAAATTACCCTACTGGAGTGTGATCATTGTGGTTTTAACCTGGGACCTGCAGTAAAAGATTATACAGCAACCTCTGACCTTTTTGATTTCTGCTTTACTCTTCTATTGTCAAGGGAATGTCACCGATCAGGTGAAAGTAAAATGTTTAATGGGCCATATCACAGTAATATCTTACACTGAGTCAAATTGATAAACTCTTGCCAAAAATTCTTAGCATCTGGCACTTCCACGGAAACCACAAACAATGATTGCACATATGGGAGCACAAAGGCTAGAGGTCATGACAGCAGTTTATTACATGCACCTTACAGTGATCATTTTCCCTAGGAAATTAACCCCTCTCTAATACAAATGCATCAAGTGAGCTCTTCACGGTATTTCAACCATGTTGTTTTGGCTAATCAAGGAATACGTGTGCAGCTAAAGTGGCGACAAGATGCAATTAAGTAAAAGATGATTGATTAGGTTTCAGTGTTTGCTCCATAATGTTTCAAAAGATGATTGTGAGATGAGAATGAATATGCTGAGTACCAGCTTCCTCAGAGGTCTTCCCGTGCGCTGCAGGCTGGAGCTGCGTGGCCCTGGGTCCTGGCCAGGCAGCAGCACCTTCCCTGGCATGCTGGATGCCGAGGGCATTTCTGCCGTGCACTGCTGTGCCCAGCCCCTCGATGCCACCGCGCCGTGGGGCAAACCCTGCGGCTGGCGGCAAACGTGTTTCACAGTCAAGATGTGAAAGACAATTATGTCACTGTAAGTAAAGAGTGGGGATCGCAGTCACTGGGATTGAAACACCGTCCTGGGTGTTTTGATCTCCTTTCCTTCTTTAACCTCTGTTATCAAAAGCACCTGGATCACTCGGCCCAGTTGCAGCTGAGCGTGCCTGAGATGTGGCTCACGTTAGCTCCAGCTGCTGAGTGGATTTTTCAGGCCCACCCTGCAGAAGTTGGATGAGCATTACCAGGTCCTTTGAAGGGTCATTATTGTTCAGCCACCTCGCTGTGCATCATGGCATGGGGAAGGTCCTTCATGCCAGCAAACTTTCCAGGGATGATGTGAACCCAGTTACCTCTTCCTACTGTGCTCAGGACTCCCTTCCAGTTTCCTTAAGGGTCAGAAGTATATCCCAAGCTGCTGCCCCAGGTGTGCCAGGGAACCCAGCTCTGGGACGGTGCGGGCTGGGGTTGGCGAAAGCACCTCTGTGAACCCTGTCATAAGAACTCTGGTTGTCCCTGAGAGTCACCAGAAACAAACAGCAGAGTCGTCAGGAAGGGAAAGGTTCTCACAAGTGGAGCTGGTCACAGCAGTGAAAGGACAGAGACTGCTGAAGCACACTGTGGGAGCTGGAGCCACAGCACCCAGAGTCTCAGTGGGTCTCTCCACCAGTCTCTCTGGATTGTGCTTTACACAACTCCGTGCCCAATCCACCTCAGCATTTCTGACCACCAGTCACTCCCTGTGTGCACAGGTCCCTCCCCAGTCCCCCTTTCTTGGCCTGGGGCGAGGTGCAGCCGCGGCCAGGGCTTTGGGCACATGTTCCTCGGGTGGGGAGGTACTTGGGCACTTGTTTGCCTGGAGTCCTTTGGCTTTAGTGGGATTTCAGCACGATGTTGCTCCTCTGAGTCTGATCTGGCTACACTCACAGCTGTTTCCCTCCTGGCGGCTGCAGCCTGTGTCCCCCTGGCTCGGGGCACCCATGTTCTGCCCAGCAGCAGCTGTGAAGGAGCTGCCAGATACCTTGCATTGGGAACTCTGTTTTTAACTGAACACCCTATTTTTCAGCTGTGTATGGCTGTATTCCTTGTATATTTATATATTCTGTATTTATGTTATCGAAATGTAGTATTTTGTAGCTGTCTGTTACAATTTGTTTAACTTGTAAAAATTATGACTATGCTCTCTCATACTTAACCAGCTCCTCTCACCGTAGATTTGCTGCTCCTTTCCCTCTGTGTTGGTAACAAACCACCATAATGTATGTAGATTGGAATTTTTTTAATTTAATTATTTGTCATTATTAAATTATTTATTAGTGTTTTTGAATTTCATTTCACTGCATTTTTTTTCCTGCCACCATTGCTGGCAGCTAAGATCCACGAGTTTCTCATACATTATGTTCCTTCCCACATGCATGTGCACACACACAAACACACCCCAAACAAAAACAGAAAAAGAAAAAAAAGAGAGAGATTACACTTCAGTATATTTGTAAATAAAAGCAACCTGTAAACTAAGGAGGATTTTCTCTGAGTGTGCA